TTGAAGCCAGCTAATTGCTAACACTACACAGTTTCTTTGGCCCTAGCTCAAGCTTATTCGCAGCTTCCCAGCTATCCCAAGGGCCTTCTCGCCGCCGAGATTGGCGTAAAAGAGTGATGATGCGCTGAACCAAGATAGGGTCCTCGCAGAATGTCGCTGTAAAAAACAGCGAAGGAATCGTGTCGCTATCCAGCGTGAACATTGGCCGTCCCAACCACGATGCCTCCATACTATACAAATGCCCCGCCATGTCCAGGAGCTCATAGTTGAGCCTCGATAACTCTTCGTCGTTGTCTTCAGTCTCTGGAAGTAGGATTATTTCCAGTGCGCATCTGCGAAGCATGAGGACAAGTAGTTCGCGCTGAACTTCCTTCGGTAAACTCCGTGAGTCGGCCAAAGCTGAGACGAGGAGGTCGAACTTCTTCTTCCAACGCTCGAAAGATGCGGTGAGCTCTATCGTTTCGTTATCTAGACCACGATCTATCGTAGTCTCTTCATCTCCATCACAACCAGGATCGGTATTGAACAGCCTGATTTCTAGGTCCCATAAGGCCTCTTTGCATTCTGGGACGCTTGAAAATGGTGTACGCTCTTCGTCAATTTCGATCAATGGCGTGGCGTATGGTGTCATGTCGGAGATGACGTCTTCGTCGTCGACGAGCATGGCTGCGTCCACACCGAAGCGAAGTAACACGGTCCCGATCTCCTGCATCAGCTGTTTTGAGTCGTTTGAAGCGGCCGACAGGTTGCATGTTTCCAACAGACGTGCGCCGGCCCGCATGTGACGAATGCCCTCGTCAAAGCGACCGAGCAAGTTCTCCAAGCACACAAAGAGTAAACAGCAGGTCAGAATCGTGACCTCAGCATTAACGGTTGTTGACGTCTGAGAATCCTTGATGCTCACTAAGTCTCCAATGGCTTTGTTATAATGCTGTGTGGCGATGACTTCCAGACGGGCCATCGACTCGTTTGTATCATCCAGAAGAGGCGCTGAAAGCTTTTGGAGGTAGAGCTGATGGGCTGCACCGAGCGCAACCACTGCATGTCGCACCGCAGGCTCGTTATGGCTCATTGGAAGCACTCTTCGGGACCAGAAGTCTTTCGGAGTGGCGAGACGGACGAAATCGACGATGGTGATGGAGCAGAAATGGTAGAAGAAGAGCCGTTCGCGCGCGCTACCGAAAAGGCCAAAGCCAGATCCGACGTCTGGGGATATGCTACGCGTCTGACGACGAGCGACGGTGCACTTGCTTGCTGCAGAGGCTTGTATGGCTTTCTCTCCAGTAGGTGATTGCTTCTTTTGAGGTGGCAATGGCGCATACCCATCACACTTCACTTGGCCCTCTCTACATCGACGGCATGTTGGTTTCTCTTCGTCACATTTCTTTCGGCGTATTCTGTAGATCAACACGCGGCATGTCAGTATGTTGAACCTGATATGGTGGGCGATCTTGGATGCCACAGTATTTCCATACTCAATTGCGGAACAGAAATCCTGGTATGAAGAAAGAGATGGTGCAATGGCGAGACAACACCCAAACACACTTACTTGCTGCGAAAGCACATTAGTAAAAGTTCCGTTGTGTCAACCACCCAAATTGTCGCGCGCAGAAGGGTCATCTTCGGTGTATAACACGGTTTTTCTTAAGGATTGCAGGTACAGAGGCGATATGATATAGTGGGAAGAGGGGACGAAAAAAGAGAAAGCAACTGCACTTCACCACGATTCTGGAGAACGTACCAAGTATTACATCCTGTGCGAACTTTGGGAGAGAAGGTGCGCACTCGAGGGCCCTTTGTCAATACCGGCAAATCCATGATCATGTTATTGGCTGTGGCGTATGTCGGGTACTTCACCTTATAAGTACGAATTCACCCACAAAACTCAAAATGGTTGAGGCGGTGCTATTTTTCACAGAAGCCACAGTCAAAGTAAGGGCTGAGAGGACGCGCAATTGTTAGGAAGAAGAACAAGGAGACGGGAGTCCCGATCATGCGTTCTAGTTCATCTTATCGGCCCGACACGACGACCCTGATTGGCTCCAGCGTATAATCCGCCGGTCGGAAACGCCAATTTGACTGTCATCACCTCCGTCTCCACTGCGACAACACCTGGGCATCCACAACATCCACTGATCTCGTTAACAAGCTACTGGAGTCGACTCATTTCGGGTAACGTTGTGCAAGCTATACGCCGGCTGTATGATGCCTATCTACAGAGAACACAGCCTCCCGAGGTCTTGTCGACGGAACGCCCTTTTCGGAAACGTCATGGCAACAAGATTGGCATCGGCCGGTGACGTCCTCGCTATCGGCAAGCTGTATATAGAGGCAACGTTTAACTGAGTGGAAGATCATCTCGTTCTATATCTAAGATCGCTCCAGAACGGCCATCCTATAAACACCTGGTGAAGCGTCGGGAACAGTTTACATCCATCGTTCCGAGCAAGCTTCAAGATGCGTTCTCAAGCGCTTCTTGCTCTCTCAGGCCTCTGTAAGTATCAGACCAAGCTTACCCATTACTCAATCGTTTTTCAGATGGACAAAAGCTAATTCAAATCAGGCCTTGCGTGTCCCGCCTTTGCCGGAGTCGTCTCGCGTGGATCAGACGCATCAATCGATCTAACACCAACCAATGCATCTACAACCGGCAAGGTCAAGGCCAATATCCGAGCTGATACCAATCGAGACGGCACGGTCGACATCACAGACGTGGAAGACTGCGAGGACTGCGACGGCAAGACCGAGTGGACTGCCGACTATGGCGCCATCTTTCTCCCCAACATTGGAGACACGAACAAGCGTTGCTCTAACGCCCTCCTCAACGGTCCTTCGGTCAGCAACGAGCGAATTGATGCTTGCAACGATGCTTCTGACAATGTCATGCGCTCCGAGCAATATCTCGCTCCGCTCCGCACAGTTCCACTGCCTGAGCTTCCCGATGACGCTCATGGTCGCATCTACATCAAAGATCCCGTGCAGCGCAAGTATGTCCGCATCTTCCACAAGGCGAGCGAAAACAGCACCTGGAGCTATGTCGACGGCAATTCCACTTTCAGCGCAGCCGCTCTGCGTGAGGGTCTTGTCCTCGGTGTTGACGGACGCGACACCCGTCGACCCAATGGCTGGGACGGCCGCGTTACTATTAGCTTCGATGTCGAGAGCTCGATAGGTGCCTCTTCTGATGATGTCATGCTTCGCGCTGCACCTGTCCTCACCCATACTCATCTCGACCCTGTGCAGCAGGTCATTGCTGTCAAAGGTAATGAGACCGGCAATCCATGGATCCTTCGCTTCACCGACGCCCTTCAAACAGCCGTCAACGAGTCTGGCCTCGAAGAGGAACTTTACCTCTTCTCCGGAAGCGATGATATCTGGGCGCAGGACTTCATGGAGCCTGGCTTCGCTTCGATGCCCGGTCCCGACGGACCCATCACCCTGCGTATCATGATCCGTTCTCCCCAGGACGAGCGCGTTGCCGGCAGACAGCTCTTCGAATACTACCGCGACACTGGTATCGGTGCTATCCAGCAGCTTGGTGGTGCCCGCGATGAGATCAACTCCGGTGGTAACATCGAAACTATTCCTCCCTACGAGATTAATGGCACTACTTGGCCTGCCGGTCGTCTGATTCTTGGCAACCATGGCGAGCAGAAACACTTCCTGCTTCCCTTCTTCCAAGCTCAAGAGACACAAGATCCCCTTCTTCTCGATACAGACTGGCTGGTCATCGGCCACGTTGACGAATTTATCCAGTTCATCCCTGTCGATTCGCCTCGTGGTTGGGTCGTTATGGTCACCGATCCCATGATGGGCGTCGAAATGTTCCAGCAGCTAAAGGACAGCGGACACGGCTCAGAGCACGCCTTTTCGCGCAAGAACGATAGCCAATCATTCGCTAACTGCACCTCCGATTTCGCCTGTGCTGCCATTCCCGTTCCGCCAATCACTATCAGTGAGTTGCTTGCCAATGAGGATCTCATGTCTGTGCAGAAGCGCTGCGCCGAGCGTATCGAGGGCAATCTACAGATCCTCAAGGAAGCAACAGGAGTTACCGATGACGAGATTATTCGCCTACCTGAGATGTTCAACGGAAATCCCTTCGGCGATATTTCCTCGATTCTTTCCGGTAATGCGACAAGTGGCTCGACATTTGGCGGAAACTCTTCCGATAACGCGACAGATGAGCTGAAGGTCGGTGCGCTCTTCCCCGGTGTTATCAACGGCATTGTCTTGACCGACTTTGACACATACATTGCTCCCAACCCCTGGGGTCCCGTTGTGAACGGAACGGATGTTCTTGCCGAGAAGCTCAAGTCGCTGTACGCCAGTGTGGGTATGGACGTCATCTACATCGACGACTGGAACACACATCACAACTTCGGCGGCGAGGTTCACTGCGGTACCAATACCGTGCGCGATATGGATAATGAGTGGTACTCTTCATGGACATTCGATGATTGCGATGATGAAGGAGGAGATGACGATGACGAGGAAGGCGATGGCGAGATTTACTAGGCTTAACTATGTCGTGCAGATACCGGCCATGGCCTTCATAATGCATTCATCTGCTCGTATCCAAATCAGCAGCTCCTTTCACCATTTTTGTCCACGTTTCTACTTGAAAACTATCTCGAAGGCTGCGACGACGTCTCGTCTACTCAGAGTGATCTGTTCGCACATGTAAGTGTATCTAGGTAGCATTCATCTTTGGGGTACTCGGGTCAAAAACGTCGCTTGAGGAAGTAGATCCGCGCGGTGTGAGATACAGTGACTCTCGGTAGCTACAACGTTTCATTTCCTTCATATATCAAATCGCCGATAGGGAATAAGGAACTGCTGCTCTTTCGCGCTGGTCGACCTTTCATTGCTACCAACGGAAAAAGCCCGGACCTGTGTGGCCTTTACGCGCCAGCTGCTTAAATATGTACCCAGGGAGCTCCACTTTGGAAACGATTTAACTCTCGCAAATACCTCCACCAGGGTTAGATTCTACCCTGATGATCTCGAAGCTCTTGGCGCTCGGTGCTGTCTTTCTCGCCTTTGCCACCGCCAACGTCTTCGACTCGTCTTACTCCAATGTCTCCAGCGCTGCTATCGACGAAGACAGGATCGAAACCGCCGTGTTAGTTGACACCGAGACGACAGAACCCGCCGATGACGTTCTATGGAATGCTGCCTTAACCAAAGGCCGGATGTTGATACTAGCCACGAGCTTGAATCTTCCAGAGGCTATTAAACTCTATTTACCAATGGAAACTCCCTGGGATGGAACCCTCAAACGCGAACTAGCACTTTGGGGCTACTCGGAACCTGACTACCCGGAAGTTGAAGACTCTGACGAAAACTGTGTCATGGGGAAAGAAAACCACGGCCTTCAAGATATGCTAAAACAGCTACATGCAGATGATAGAGATTCACGTGATGGAGGGGACAACATCTGTCACACAATCCAACATCAAGACGGACCTACCTTGGAGAAAGATAAGAACGGTGAAGTACCAGAAGATCCTAGGGATCAATACTACAAAGTTGAAGGGCGCAGATACAGGGTATGTGAGCACGTAGAATTCGACATGGCTACAACTTGACGCAATACAGCTGACATTGCTCTAGGTTACCGGCGCGGATTCCACCATTGGAATAAATCCAAAGGCTGGTATCATCTTCTTTCTGACTCGTGAGAGCCCCGCGTACGCGGCGAGAAAGCTATGGAATGTACCCTCCGTCAAGCCGGACGAAATGCCTGCCCTCAAAAGTAGCTCGGATATTGCCTGGGGTCTCTGGAATAGGCATTGCAAAGAAAGCCTGTCCAACATCAACTACTTCTTCACGGTGGCAGTTGCAAACCCGGAAACGCGTAAGATCATCAGCAGAGCTATGGGACAAAATGCTGTGCCGAATGCGCCAGGATACACCTTTAGAGCTGGGAATGAGAACTTCATCGCTCTGCTGGGTATGTATACGATTGTAGCTTTCTCTGATATGTTCACCAGAAGCTCTCGAATTCTCAACAGTTACAGGATATGCACTAACTACCAGTCTCTAGGATCGCCGAACCTTGTAGCAGTAATGTTCTTCCTCCTCCAACACAAGACTCGGTTTGGCCACAATCGATGGGTTACTGAGATCCGTGTTTTCATACCGAATGGGGATTTCAATAAGGTTTCGATGCTTGTCAAGGTTGAGCGAGCGCCCCCGACAGAACCTCCCGAGCCTATTGAAGATCCAGATTGCGCGGAGAAAAGGTCGTTGGAAAGTGCGCCAGTCTCACCGCTGAAGATCGATAGTTGGAAGGGTGGCGAACGTGCAAATTCGACCTTCGAGGACGTGAATCTGGTTAGAAGGCATATCATATGGGCTTAGACTCGGTCACAAGCGATAGATATAGGCTTTACATGGTGAGTTCAGATTAGATGCTTTGGCGACTCCATTGATGGAGCATCTCACACAAGAAAAGAACTGAACATCTATATCCTGAAAGTTCACATTACCTCAACAGTTTTGTCCATCTTATCTTGCACACTAATTTAGTCGGCAGAACACAGTTCTACATCTCGATTCTTGTACTTTCACAACATAGCCATTGCGCATTGTTGACACACGAGCTCCTACTCTGGACAATTAAGTGATTGCTCGTTTCCTTTTCACCCACCACACCACTTTCTCGATCACGCGTCGCCAGACCAGGATACCTACAAAGTACGGCGACGAGACCGTGGCTGAGCTGGAATGGCTCCCGCCGAAACAAGAATATATTGCCAGTCTACGCTCAGTCGCCCCTCCAGCGGACGAGCCAACTTGTGCTATATGTCGTGGTGAGTGGGAATATCCGGCCCAGGAAGTCGTCGAGCCAAGCCCTCACTGCTCTCGACATCCTCTCCACAAAGACTGTCTTCTCATAACCTTTGCAACGGAAGACGGAGAGGAGGTCAGCAATCTGTGTCCATTTTGCCGTCGCGAACTCTTCGAGAAGATCCCAAAGCCGCCTGCGAAGCCCCCGAGTAACTCGAATAGTACCTACCAGCAAACTACACAACTCTATGACAACCTTGTGGCACTTCATATCCAGATTGAATACAACGACGACACAACCGAAGATCCACGGCTGCTGAATCCTTCTGGCCCAACCATTGAGGACGCCTTGCTGAAAGACGGTTTCTGGTCTGCTCTTCCCCGTTTCTTGGACGAATGGTACCACCGCAATGCATCTCAGATTATCGAACAGACAAAACGCCATAGGAAACCACTGTCGATCGTGGATATGGGTCGCGCTGTGGTTGCCTCGTTCTTTGGCAATGGTGAGCCACCGTCTCGCAAGATTACAGGTCTCACAGACGAAGGTCGCGCAGCTATCACTGCGCTCTTTGCGCACGAAACCGACAAGTCAGAGCTGTGCCTAAAGGCAACAGAGCTACTAGACTACCAACAAGGCGAAATCGTAATGCAATGTATCCGCGCCGCCCTCATGTACTACGACCAATCTGCCTTCCCCCAACACGTCGAGGATTTGCAGCGCAAAACTCGTTGGCTCATTGCCTACCATGTCCTTACTTCTCTATTAACAGCACGCAGACGCCCCGATGAGGACGTGTGGTATCGAGGAACAAACATACCCCGCTGGCTCCAGCTGGTCCGTTTCCGTAAGATGCTGCACCGAGGAATCAACCAATGGGCCTCACCGACCTTCTTCGCCAGCCAGCCCCCACTCGAAACAAATTTTCCTTACAGTCACCTTATGGGTGTTACCGAGGGATTCGGCGAGCATGACTTATTGGAAATACAGTATTTCCGGCCCACCGATGTAGAGCCGTATCAAACTCGTATTGGCCCCATTGATCGTGGTCATAAGATGATCATAAAAGAGGACACCTCGGTGTGCCCTTTAGATCCCAATCTCAAAAACGGTACTATCTTCCAATTTCTGAAGGACGGAACCTTGACAGTTCGGGAACTCTGTCCTGCCTTCCTTCATGACATTTCCTGCAACCGCGAGGAAGGTTTTTTCGATCTCGTTCATGAGAATGGGAGTATGCTGAGGATCATACGTAGGGTTATGCCGTAGGGGCACTAGGGATAGCTAGGACTCGGGTTGCACGTTGCTACATGCATATAATTAATTGTTAACAACTAGATAGCTCTTGAGGCAGTGTATACTTGCCTGGGTACTATCTTTAGCAACGTTTTGCACTACGGGCTTACTAGTTCCCATGCGTATCCGCGATCTCCTTCTGACCCTTCCTCACCCACGCTTTAAACGGATCCTGCACATCAGGATTCCTCCTCAACTTTTCGATCTGATCTTCGCCCGACGGTACCAAAAGCCCTCTCTTGACCGCATCTCTCTCCTCAATCTCCTCACACCACTTCTTTAGCTTCGGGAACTTAGTCATCTCAATCCCCGCCCATGGTGCCCACCGAACCCATGTAAAGGTCGTGATATCCGCAATACTGTACTTGCCGCGACCTTTGCCTGCGAGATAGTCTCTATCCTGGAGTCGCGCTTCTAGTACCGAATAGAGGCGTTTTGTCTCATTCTTATATCTCTTCGTGCCATAGTCAATCTTCTCGGGTGCGTAGCGCACGAAATGGTTCGCTTGTCCTTGCATTGGGCCCACGCCGGCGTTCTGGAAGAAGAGCCACTGTATCATTTCCATCTTCTCGTCACTATCCTGAAAGCTGAATTTGAAATCTTTGTCGTAGTGTTCGGCGAGATAGAGGAAGATGGCTCCAGACTCAAAGACGGGGTATGAGTCGCGGCTGTGGTCAACAATCGCGGGTATGCGACCGTTGGGGTTGACTTTGAGGAATGAGGCGGACTTCTGCTCGTCTTTGGATAGATCGATGGCGGTGGTCTTGTAGGGGATGCCGAGTTCTTCGAGGAAAATGGAGATCTTTTGGCCGTTGGGTGTGGCCGCTGTGAGGAGCTCGATGTTGGGGGTCGTCATCTTGTGATTTTGCTCTCACTTTGCAGCGTCTCTCGTATGTGAGGTTTCTTGAAGAGGAGGCATCGATGCTGCAGTATCACTGCTTACATAGATGCGCTATACCCGCACTACCGATGGTCCCGTGGACTCGTATCATGATGACGTATGCTTGAAGTAGCTGAAGAGGACGTCATTAGGGTCTGCTGTTTGACTGCCCGCATTCCGAAGGTAATTGGATATTTCCATCAAAAGAATGCATTCGAATTGAAAGAGCAGTTGTTCAGCTTGCAATGTAGCAAAGAAGTGGAGTGCTCTTCCCACTTTCAACGCGCGTTGGCATTCGGGTTAGCGCGGCGCTAGTCCACGCTCAGGTGTCGCGTGCCTTCCGCAACCATCATCACCACGACGCACCACCAAACTGGATCTCTTGTGACACATGAACTCCTTCCTTCTCTTCTATGCTGCAGGATCAAACAAAGAAAATTGCTCTCGATCGCCGATAATGTACTGGTACGCCGATGCATAGCCATGCCGTTCGTTTCGCGCGGTGGTCTGATTTTCTTTCGGCTTTAGTCCCATTTGGCCCAAAACAGCAACCATCATGCCACTTTTCAAGACAAAGTTCCAATTGGAGTGCAAGGTAGTATTGCATGTGACTTGATGCTGAGCGACTTTTGGGTCGTAAAGTGCAGCTTGTACGCGCAGCTGACGGTCTCCTTCCCTTCACCGCGTATTCCTCCCAGTTCACACTCCTTGTTCCTTGCTCAACACTCATTCCGAGGCCTTCGCGATCGAGGACTTCATCACCACCCGGGTCCACTGGTGCAGGAAGTGTGCCACACAAGTCAAACACGAAAGAAAGTCTCCTCCTCACGATACCCATCCTGGGAATCTGCACCTCTACACATCAACAGACGCTCCTCTTTGTTGAACCCTTCCATTGATTCAGTTCGACAAGCGCCCAGCTCAGCCGAGTTCGCCATGTTGATAACTCGCACCTTCTCCCTCACAAACTTCCTCATTGGCTCGTCAGCCCTCTGCTTTCAAATCTTCGTACTTTACCCGTGGCATGAGAAGCTAGAAGAAGAGTTTGTCGAGCTGAAGAAAGAGCATGCAAGGTTACTGGAGGAGACGCACGAGAGGCACAGGGGAGAGTTGAGGGGGATTAAAGAACAATTGGAGTTGGCCAATGAGCGGAGGAAGACTGGGAAATTTTGGTAGAATGGTAGGACTGGCATGGCGAAAGAGGAGGAGATGGCAGAAGGGAAAGACGCTAAGCAGAGATGTTTGTACTCAGTCCCTATCACGATCGCAGGCACCTGATGCGATCGCTACTCGGAGCATAGCATCGGATTCGAATGGAAAACGGAGTAACGCGCTCACAACGTGACTAGATACACCCATTACTCTAGGATGGGGCACCATCATGCGAAAGTCGTATGCGTATCTGAAAACAAACAGGCAGACGCAGCCAATAGTACATGTAGCGAACAACAAAGTTCACGAAAGCGAATGCATCTATCGAAAAACACCACCTCCGTTCCCTCCGCGAAAACTCTCCTTAGCCCACATAACAACTTAGAAAAGAAAAAAACTTCGCACACAATAAACTACTCCATCACATCGATAAACTGCTACCCTCCCAATAGCACCAACGGCTTACCCTCCCTCCCTCCTGTCAAGTCTGTCAAACGCGGACCCAACTCCGCCACTCGGGGTCCATCCAATCCGTCCAAAACTCACCAAACCCACCAACCCAAAAACAGCCCTTCCGAGCGCCGATCTTAGGGGGGGTTTCCCTCCGCCCAGCAAACCAGCGGACCAGCAAAACCCCTTACCTATCCTCTTTCTCCACAATGACGCCAGCAAGGCGCGGAAACAATAATGCAGGTTATGGTGATCAGCAACGGCACCAAACAAACAAAGCGCGTGCAAAAGGGATCAACACGCATGCAGCGTGTGCCGAGCCGCGTGGGTTGACAACTGACGTTTGACGTGCCGCGTTGCAGGTGATTAATGATTAATTCGCGGCAGGCTGGCATGATGATGATGATGATGATGATGATGATGTGTGGTGCGGGACGGGTTGGCGTGGGATTGATTGCGAGACGCGCGTTTTGCGATTCAGACTGTACAATGAGGCGATTTTCACGTGCAGAGATACTGATACTGATAGGCAGAGGGGAGTTTCGTAGTCATTCGCATTTCAGTAGATAAATGTGAAAGGAGGCAGGCGCTAGCAGACGTAGAAAAGCCCGTGAAGAGTACAACATGCAGCATTGGAACGGGAAATGGAATTAGTAGTAGGAAATGTAACGCCTTGGTATAGTAGTGTCGAAGAAAGCTCTCAATCCGAAGCCGTCATGTCTCGGAGAGTGATGAATGGTCCTCCTTAGCAGTACTCGCAGCCCTTTGTGTCCTGCTGCGGATCCGGCTGTCGCCCAGGCCTAGCAACACGCCGCCTGGCCCCTCGATTGTACCTGCGTGTGCTCCCTCCCGCGCGAGAACAGATATCTCGCATGCTAAACCCCCAAAATCCGTGCCCCATAAGGAATGTGACCGTGTGCATGGCCGGCTGTGGCTGCGAGCAGCTGTCGAATCGCGCGGCTTCCCTGAACGAAAAAGATGAAAAGTGGTGTTCGCGACAATCCTCATGGCTTATGTCTGAATCTCCTTCTTCTCTGCGCCCTTTGGCCGGAAGACGGCGTCTTGACCTGACATGCGACGTGCGAGTGCGCGGTCCAGCTTTGCTCCCAGCGCCAGCTTGCTCATGTCGTCTGTCTTGCGCTCGTTGAGGGCGTACCGTTGTTGGACCAGGCGCTTGTCTTCGAGGCGGTCAAATCCCGCGTTCCATGTCTTGATGTCGTGTGACTTGGGGTCGCCGGCTGTTGACGAGGCTTGCGAGAGGTGCGAGGGCGCGATGGAGGGTGTGAGGGTGGGTGTGGCGCTGTAGGTGGACATGCGGGTGGATGCGCGGTTGGCGGCCGACTTCTTCTCGTTAGACTGTGCTTGTTCCGACATGGTCGCCGTGTGGTGTGCGTGTTTGTGTTGGTGCGGGCGTGTTGGAGCGCAAAGGCAGGTGTTTGTGTGGTGAGTGTGAAGGGAAGGGAAGGCGCAAAGGAGTGAATGTCAAGCACGCGGTGCAGGTGCTCCTCGGCGAGCATCGACCACACGCAGGGGACGTCTGAAACGGGCAGTGGATACGGGAGAATGACTTACGTTGGCAAGCATGGGCCGCGAGGACTCAAGAGAGTTTGTCATGATGCGCGCCACGGCGAGTCCGGTGGTTAGTAGGTGGGCGGGGATAGCGTGCTGCTTGCTAGGTCGCCGGAACTGCAATCGTACGACGGCGATTGAAGGGTATAAGAGAGGGCGCACGCAGACAGAGCAGTCAGAGGCCGGTGTCCGTGCTGGGTCTGTAGAGAAAAGCGAGGAGATGGGTGTTGTAGTCGGTAGAAGTCCTGTGCTCAGCCTGCCTTACTCCTGCGCGTTTCAAAGGGCCCAGATCGGCAAGGGGCGTCGTGAGTAGCAAGATGCACGCGCAGGGGCGCCACGGTTAGCGAGTCGCAACGGGCGGCGGTGATGTTTGGTAGGATTCTAAGACGTCAGCCTTGCAGACAAGCAGCGGCATGTGCGTGGTCAAGACGCGTAGCAGAAGGCCCGCCGCCGACGAACACGACGCGGTTATGTAGGCAGCTGCGGCTGTAAGCAAGGAAAGAGCGACCCCTCTACCACTACCACCACCGGCATCATGGCAACCACCAGACGGCTCTGAAACGGCCGCACGTAAGGATACTGTATCTAGGGATACTTGCATTTCGATAAAGTGCTGAGTGAGTTGCATGCAGTCAGCCTCCACTCAAGCCATTCACGCCGACCGCGACACCCGACCAATCCCCTTGACCACCGCCCACGCTTGCATCGCCTATGCCACGTTTTTCTGCGGGAACCCAGAACCCACGTTGGCCGCTACAGGGCCCCGTGTTGCTTAGGTTTAGCTTCGTCTCCACCGGTGCCCGCGCATTGCCGCTCCTGGTCTGGTCATGGCATGAGCCATGCACTTGTTCCCTGACTGAAGAACTCCTTGCATTATCTATGAGACATCCATTCCTCGCGAAACGGGAGCCGTGAATATCGA